CAGCCTATTAACACTGTGTTTTCTGAGAAAATCAAATGAATAGTAGTTTGGGCTGGCCCAGAAGCAATTACTCTGATTTGCAAATGTCACCTCTGACTTCATTTAAATGTAACCATCTGTGGAGAGAGATATGGAAATGGTTTAAAATTAAAATAACATTATTTAGAGCTGGATCTATAAAAGGAACTCAAAGAGCAGTCCATTATTAAAATAAGCACTCTGCCTGGAAAATGAGAAACATTAGAAAACAAATTATATTTTCTAGTGTCTAAGGCATGGTAGAGAATTGTACAACACAAATATCAAGCATCATAGCTTATATTAACTGTACTACATTTTGAGCTACCAAATAAGTGCTTTAATTTTTTTAAAAAATTACAAATATGCTTGAAGTCAGAAGTATGCCTTTGAGACACATACATATATTTGTAAGAGGACAACTTTAAATCATGGCAATCTCCTTACCTTCCCCTCCTCTTCCTCCTTGCCAACTCACCTGCCGATCTAATTATGCAACCTGGAACTGGGTGAGGAAATAGATATGCTTTCTTCACTTTCTTTCTTCTGAATGGCCAGAGACATAAGTTCAGGAGAAAAATTCAGGTAAACGGGTACTATAATAAGAAATAAAAAAGAACGTTTATGGACTAAGAAAAAGAGTATTCTGCATCAGTTTCAGTTGATGATTTCCTAAGATGGCAGAACTGAGGGCCCCATCTATTCTTCAGGACTTGCCTCAACCTGGTTGGTTTCATTATTAGAACTGTCTTTGCTTGGTATCAATAACAGAAGGCAGGATGCCTTTGTATTTAAAGAAGGCAGGTGTTAGATCTTCTTTGAAAAGGCCTACTCTGAATCTCTTGGATTGGACTCCATTCTACCTAACCTGTTTCAATAAAAAGGCTACCTAGACCCCTTTTGGAAGAAATGCTGATCAGGAAGCATCATTTAGAATGGAATATAGAGTAATTATGCGGTTCAAAATTGCAAAAGCCATGTGCCAAGATTCTATACAATCACTATTGTTATTAAATCTATATCAGAACATATTCTGAGAAATGCCAGACTAAAAGAAACTAAAATTTAAATTTAAATTGCTGAGAGAAATATTAACAACTGCAGATACACTGTACATTTCACCTTGGCAGCGGGAAGTGAGGAAGATTTAAGGAATCTCTTGCTGAAGGTTAAAGCTGGAAGTGCAAATGCGATTTTGATACTCAGTATTAAAAGGAAATGTCAATTGTTCATATCAACCCTATGCACACAGCTGTAAATTAGTGTAAGAACTGATTCATCTTCCTCAGGTCAAAACCCCACAGAGATATGTGGGTCTTTGGAGAAAGACTTTAATAGATAACAGAATGTTAAAGCATAGTTAGATGATCCTGTCAACGAAAGTGTACATAGTCAAGAATTGGGATTAATAATGGTTCGATACCAGATGGGAACCAGGTACCACCAGAGGAGATCCAGTGTGGTGGTTAAGGTGCTGGATTGACACTGGGGAGAACGGTTCTAGTCCACTCACAGCCACAGAAGCTCACTGGTTGACTTTGTGCCAGTTATTCTCTCTCAGCTCCACCCAGTGGTGGGATTCAATTTTTTTTACTACCGGTTCTGTGGGCGTGGCTTGGTGGGCGTGGCAGGCGTGGCAGGGGAAGGATACTGCAAAATCCCCGTTCCCATCCCACTCCTGGGGGAAGGTTACTGCAAAATCCCATTCCCTCCCCACCCCACTAACCTGCTTTCCAGCTCCTTTCTCCTATGCAGGGCAACAAAAGAAGACCCAGCTGATCAGCTGGGACTGGGAGGCAGGGAATAGATGGGGGCACGGCTAGTCAGAGGGGCTATTTGCTGGTTCTCCAAACTACTAAAAATTTCCCCTACCAGTTCTCCAGAACTGGTAAGAACCTGCTGAATACCACCTCTGGCTCCATCTATATGGTTGTAAGAGAAAATAGGGACACTTAAGTTCCTGTATACTCTGAACTAAGCTAAGAGATGTTTAACCACTGCATGTCTTCTTATTATATAAAAAATCAAGATGTATAGCATGGTACATGTGAATTCACAGTGAGATAATGCCAGATGCAGAGATATGGAAGAATTCACAGGAAGGGCATTTCATAAATAAGCCAGTTTCTCACATCCCTTGTTTTGCCTATTGTTAGAAAAGCTTTACATACCAGCTCCTTGGCACAGACATGTCACGGCAGAACACAGCATACATACCTGTTGTCTGTCACAAGGAGCACTGCATGTTTACTCTTGTAAGTATTTATCTTTAATTAAGTTTGTGAGGATCACAGTGGCTTTCACCTCCCTTTTCTTGGAAATCTTTCATAGATATTGGCTCCTGGAGGGCATTTACATTTGGGCATTCCAGAACAAAAGATGACTTCATGCAACACACATACAAATAAATAAATAATAATTTAAACAATCCAGTACTAATCATGAAAGTCAATTTGACAAGATGATTAAATACAGTACAGATAGTCCTCAATTTACAATAGTGCATTTAGTAAAACCATTTGAAATTACAATGGCACTGAAAAAAATGACTTACAACCATTTTTCATGTTTAAGACTGTTGCAGCATTTCCATGATCACATGAATAAAATTCAGATGCTTGGCAACTGACTCATATTTATGACGGAGCAGTTTTCCAGGATCATTTGATCACATTTTCTGATTTTCTGACAGGCAAAGTCAATGGGGAAGCCAGATTCATTTAACAACCTTGTTACTAACTTAACTGCAGTCATTCACTTAACAGCTGTGGCAAAAAAGGTCGTAAAATGGGGCAAAATTAACTTAACTGTCTCACTTAGCAACAGAAAGTTTGTGGTCACTTGTGGTCATAAGTTGGGGACTACCTATACCCGTGATGGCGACCCTATGGCACGCATGCTGGAAGCCGCACGCAGAGCCATTTCTGCCGGCACACAAGCCGTCGGCCAGAACTGATCCACTGCGCATGCACACATCCCTGCCAGCCGACTGTCGGGAATCTGCCGCGCATGCCCAGAGGGAGACGCGCTCGCATATGCAGGGGGGTGTGGGGCATGGGAGGGGGTCACACACGCATGCAGAGGAATGCGGGGGTCACGTGTACATGTGCAGAGGCATGCAGGGGTCACACGTGCATGCAGGGGGTAGGAGTGGGTCGCACGCATTGCATTATGGGTGCAGGCACGCATGCACGCCAGTGGTGGGATTCAAAAATTTTTACTACCGGTTCTGTGGCCGTGGCTTGGAGGGTGTGGCAAGGGAATGATACTGTAAAATCTCCAGTCAGAGGTGGTATTTGCCACTTCTCCAAACCATGGTCGCCAACCAGTGGGCTGTGGCCCACTGGTGGGCCATGAGAAAATTTTGGTGGTCCCAGGACAGAGACTCTGGGAAAATCTCAAAAAAAGTCTGCAGGAAAATCCCCCATCCCATTTTCCTACCAATCAATCATTCTTTATTTGGGATTGCAGGATACCATCTCTCTCTCTCTCCCCCCCCCCAACTGATCTGAAAATCAGGTTAGCGAAGGAATGTGGCTGCCTTGGAAGGGGTGGGGGTATGTGAGGGACCTGTGTGTGTGTGTGTGTGTGTGAGAGAGAGAGAAACATCACTGGGGTTAGATTGGATCTCTCTCTCTCTCTCTCCCACCAACGTCAGCAAGCCACTGTCAGTCAAAATTCATATTAGCGGTCTGCAGGATTTAAAATTATGAGTTTGGTGGTCCCTGAGGTCCAAAAGGTTGGCGACCCCTGCTCCAAACTACTCAAAATTTTTGCTACTGGTTCTCCAGAACTGGTCAGAACCTGCTGAATACCACCTCTGGTGCGAGCGCATTTTCAGCACGTGATGATGAAAAGGTTAGCCATCACTGACCTATACTATCACTGACATAAAAAGCAAGACTTTACAAAAACTCAAATAATAAGTTGCTAAGAGATAAATCTAAGACACCAATGGCAGAGCGGGCGTCACAAAGAACTGGAAGTGCTCTTCTGGGAAAATCTGAATTAAGAAAAGCGAGACGCAGGTTGTATGGAAGTAGACTAGTAATAGCTGTAACACACTTCTACAGAATTAAAGGGCAAGTATGGAGATTCATGCACACTGCTTGTGTAAAGGAGAAGGATGGAATACACACAGATTACTTTCAAAAAGAAAATCAAGGACACCTGAAATATTATCAGAATCTGTCTCATGGGATCACAGAAGATACTAGAAGATACACATACATTATTACAACCATATTTGCAAAATCTCTTTAAGGCAGGTTTCACAGCCAGATCTGTGGGCACTACAACTCCCAGAATTCTCAGAGGACACACTGTCCCATTGGAAACTATGGGAATTGTAGTCATAGCACAGCACAGCACAAGGTATGGACAATGTACATCTTGTAGAAGCACCCTTGTGCTAGCTAGCAGCTGGAAAACAAATCTGTGAAGAGAGGAAGGTTTTGTTCGCCTCAAAGCCGTTTGCAACGCCTATATTTGTTTTTAAACAACCACAGGCAACGCGCACGAGTGATCAGAAAGACAATATAAATACAAACCAATAGAAATACAATGCAAGAGAAGAACTCTCTCTGTGTCATACACACACAACCAAAAAGAAGGTGGAGAGGGAGGGAAGGGGGAAGAAAACGGAACGCGCGACCAGAAGAAGCAGTTCTTGTTATTTCTCCACAAATAAGGAAGGTGTGAGGAGAGCCACCGTCTCTTCAGCCCTTCATTCTCCCGCAGGCTTCCGACCTGAAGCGGCGTCGGCTTCAGCCCCGTGTGCCCGGCTTCCTCGCTCCTTCCCGGGAAAAGCAGCGGCGAGCCTCTTCCCGGCGCCAGCATTGCAAGGGCTGCCTCCTCCTCCTCCTCCTCCTCAGTGTAGCAACGTCTCCGGCTGGCCGCCGCTGAGCTGCATTGCTGTAAGGAGCGCGCAACGCTCAGGCGCCAGCCAACGCTGCAGTGCCGACCCGGGAGAAGGCAAAGCGAGGTCGGGCGAGGAGCCGGAGCCGGAGAGCGAGGCCCTCTGACCCGGCTTCGAGGCCATGTGCATTCCGTGCCAGCCCGCTCCTAATAAAGCGATGGGGCCGGGAAGCTGCCTCCCGTTTCTTCACGCCCTATAAATATTCAGCCGGCCCCGAAGACCAGCTCGGGTGGCTTGTGGGCTGCCTGACGCCGGCTCAGAAAAGCCGCCGCCGCCTCCTCCTCCTCTGCCTCCACCACCACCGCGGGAAAAGCCTGAGGCAGCGCAGCCCGTCCGAGATGCCCCGAGTAGATGCAGATCTCAAACTGGACTTTAAAGATGTCTTGCTCAGACCTAAGCGGAGCAGCCTCCGAAGCAGAGCAGAGGTGGGGGCATTTCCAAAGGAGCATGCTTCTTTCTTTCTCTCTCTCTCTCTCTTTTTCTCTCCCCCCCCCTCTTTAAAATGCGGCGCCCGACTTCATGCGTTGTAACCTCCCTCCTCACTTCCTATTTGCATTTCAGGCTAATGGGTTATTGCCGTTGCCGCCTTTGCCTTTTGTGTGTGTGTATATATATGTATGTATGTATGTATGTATGTATGTATGTATACGTATAGATATAGATATCGATGTATATGTCCCTGATACGAAGTCCAAAAGGTTTCAGAACTTTCCATACGTAACCCGGCCGGCGAAGTCGGCCCTGTGTAGCAGTTACTGCTTTGCTTTTTGTTGTTGTTGTCCTCACCTTTTGCAGATTGCGATCCAAAGGAGAATCTTTAGGAAAGTGTCAAAACCCATTTCTTCGCTTTGGCTCACCGGCGGATCTGATGGAATTGCTCCCAAATTTGCAAGAAGCCAACGGGGATATTGGGGTGGGACGGTGGTGAAGGAACCGACGGAAGGAGATCTAGAGTCGGATTGCATTGTGCTCGGAACTGTTTGTAGAGGAAACAAGTGGCATGACAGATCGTTTTGCGGGCGAGAGGAGAGGAGGCTGATTCAAGTTACAAACCCTCCATGAGAGGCCTAGCTTTTCTTGAGTGGAAGCAGGACTGGAGAGGCGATTTCCTGGGGCCCGCAGGTCAGGTGTCTTAAACAGCGAAGTGCGCACAAAGACACACGCAAAGCGCAGGGAAGAGAAGCTGGGAAATGGAACTTAAAAACCATCTTTTTGTGTTTAGCAGAAAATCAATTCATGCCTCGGCTTTTAGCCTTCCAACATTTATCATTAATTTAATTCTACCCAACGTTTAGTCTCCAAAAGGATGGTGAAGAATTCCTATTTGCACGAACACCCTCTTTCCAAGGATAAAAGATCAAAAAAGTTGAAATGTCACCGTGAACCGGAACTGGAAGCCTTTTGTCCATGCATCAATATTGTGGGACCAGACTTTGACCTCGTAGTTGGAAGTGGCTATTCCCAGATGAAAAATTCCCAGATGTAAAGCCAGGTTTAAAGAACAAGTCCCTGAGATTGTGGGAGATGCTATATAGATCGTGGTTGTCTAACCGTTGTGCTTGCCTGGGCCTCATTGAGTGAAGAGGATTCGTCTTGGGCTCGCATATAAAATATATAGTTAATGTATATAAATCACATAATAATTAAAACTTTACTATCTTGTGGGGCCACATTACTAGCTGTCCAGGGCTGCATGCAGCCCATAGGCTATGGGATGGACGTGGCATCTCCAAATTTTAAGATTTATATACTTCACCTTCCAGAATTCCTCAGCCAGCCATGCTGCCTGGGGAATTCAGGGAGTTGAAGTCAACAAATCTTAAAAGTTGACAAATTTGGAGACCCCTGCTATAGATGATCCTTGGTCAGAATCCCACTGGGATTCTGGATTTTCTTGCATTACCTCTGTTTTGTGCAACTGAAAAAAGGAAGGGGATGGTTGCTAGTGAAAATGCAGGATTGGTCCCTGTCCCTCTATTATGCAGATTACTGCAATATCTTTGGTTGAAATAAAATCGTTTGTATAATTATCAATTATTGCTATGTAGCATTTGTTAAAATATATTTCTGAAACAAATTATCGTAAGGGGAATTATTTCTGGAATATAGTTTCCAGCATGCATTGATCCAAAATGACCTTTAGTTTCCTCTCGTTTGGAAAGGGCTTTGAAAGATCTTCTAGAATTGGAGCCTTTTTAATTGAAGGAGATAGGAACTAAAAATACCAGGCCATATTTGATACGTTTGTGTTAATTTTAAATCTAATCACCACATAATCTTGAGCATCATTCACAAGTGCAGGTTAGAAATTAACAGTGGCTTTCAGTGAAATGATATTAAATACTTATTTTGGTGTAGTATGACCAATATAGTATTCACATATTGATTCCATCTGAGACTGTGAATTTGAAAGTAGGCCCTGTCGGATTCTATATCATTCACTTACTGGTAATTATTGGAATAGAATAATCATCAGCCTTGAATCCGAGCTGGTTTTCTCCTATTTCTGGAAACACGTTAGGTATTGACTCTTGATTCTTTCTGTATTATGACATATGAGATTCAATCTTGTTCTTAGGATGTAATGAACTTGCAAATGAGTGAGGTGTCCGCCTTCTCATTTGAATATTTCCAGGTAGTCCTCAACTTAAAACCATTTGTTTAGTGACTGTTCAAAGTTACAACGGCACCGGAAAAAAATGATTATTTTTCACAAACCATTGCAGCATCCACTTGGTCATGTGATCAAAATCTGGATGCTTGGCATTTGGTTCATATTTATGACGGTTGCAGTGTCCTGGGGTCATGTGATCATCTTTTGTGAACTTTTGACAGCAAAGTCAGAAAATGGAATTTGTAAGCCAAAGAAATTAAAGGCATAAGATAAAAGGAAATATAATTAAACTGAAGTGTTTACAGCAACGCTTTTCACTCCATCTCTTTTTATACTTGCAAACCAGTCTTCCAACTTGTCCATTTGTACATCAACTCAGACACTGCTTTTTTGTTCTTTCAAGAATCGAGTAGCTGATGAAAAAGGCAACACAGCCCAATAAAAATATTTTTAACCAATTCACTTTTGTCAGCCAGGGGAACGGGTGGATTGGAAAGTATGTCTGAATTATAAATCTATCTCTTTTTTTTTGAGCATGTGATTTCATGGCTCACATTTGCTGACAAGTTTAATTACCTGATTTAAATTACAGGCTTTTCTCAGTGGTCTAGATCAGTTTATTGCTTAAATGGAATGCTTTAACAATGTTAGAAATAAATTGACCGGCTATCTCCTTTCTTGTCATTGTAGGATGCTGAATCATTTATTATGAGGTTGTAGATACTACAGTATATTTATGTAGAGAAATAATTATTTAATATATATTATTTTAGTGCTTGCATTTTCTTAACTTTGTGATTTAATTCTGCTTTCAGACCCAAATAAAAAAGTGTTGTTTTTCCAGGTAGATCTTACACGTACCTTCTTCTTCCGTAACTCCAAGCAAACCTATACAGGTATCCCCATTATCGTAGCAAATATGGACACTGTTGGTACTTTTGAAATGGCACAAGTTATGGCTAAAGTAAGTGTTTCTTAATTCTCTTCTCCTATAAAAATAAAAATAACATTTGAATTAATTTCAAGTTGTTGTAATGAAAGAATTTGGCTGAATTTATTTTATTGTCAAACAGCCCATTTCCCTCCCTCAAAGAATCCTAGGAACAAATATATCAGTGAAGGCGAGACTCTTTCACATTTTTAAAAAATATTCTTTTGATAAGAATTCCCAAGATATCCTGAGTGAACTTTTAACACTTGGCAATGAATTTCCTTAAAATTTTACGATTTGTAAATTATATGTAGAAATTTTGCTAATGTTAATATGAAATTTAAATTACACAATTATACTGTTACAGTCTCCAAGATCAAAACATCTGTCATCACTATTATAACTCTTGAAGGACTGCATTGAACGTCAAAACTATATTTATAGTTTTATATTATATATAATATAATAGTATAGATTTAGTAGTATTTCAGACATACGTGGAAACTGAATTATAATGTACATGATAATTGTACCTCTAGTTTGCATAATGCATATAGCCCATCTTCTGTGTAAGCCACAATCATCTGCTCCTTCCATCCTTCTATATCCTGTTCTTTGATTTATTGACCTCCAAAATTAGCATCAAAAATATGATACCATTCAAAATAAAATTAAAATAACTGCACCATAAATACAGAAAATTACATGCATGCTTATCATACTATTTCAAGATACAAGAAGAAAAGGAGTAAAAATTACTAAGCAAAAGAAATTAAAGGCCTGAAATTTAAAAAGAAAACATTCACTTTATCTTTCTTTGCTTTCATCACATTCATCCATTACTTTATCCATTGTCTTGATTTTTCTATTTTTGAGGATGTTATCAACTTTGTCCAACTATAATTTTCTCAATATTCCTTTTCTTTTCATTCATTCATTTTAATAGTGATTTGATCTTCATTATTTCTTTCTATATGTTCAAACCACCTTAGTGTGCTTCTTGCCTATTGGTTACTCACTTTTATATTCAGTCCAATTAATTCTTGACTTTTATACTGTATTTGTTTGACCATATCTACTTCTTAAGTAAACTATTCCTGTTGTAATCAAGGTTTTAAAATGTTTCTCTTAAAAAGTTCCAATAGTCGCTTTCTTGCTCTCTCAGCTGCATTCCTTGCAACTTGATGTATTTATTTATGAAAATTTATATGACTGCCCAACTCACTCTCAGGATAAAAATCAATATAAAAACAGCAATAAAGCAATAATCCCTGCTTCCTTAATGTGTGCCCATTAAACAGTATTTTCTTCTCATATTTTGTAATAATAATTCTCCTATATGCCTTTTTCTCATGCACGACCTCTTCTGGTTTATCGTTTCACCCAACAACTTTTCTTTCATACTTCCTCTTTACCTCATGCTTGTGTCCTGGCCTGTACCAGTTCTTAGATAAGAAAAGCACTTTTCTCAGAGTCATGTTCTTCTCTAATGGTTTCTTGTTATAATTACTAAATGGTTATGAAGGATTGCAGACTTACCATCCAGGCCTATAATGTTTGAATTCAAGTAACATTTACAAATAATGCTAAGATTCTACTATCGTGGAAATTTACGGCAATTGTATTACTGATGGACAGGATTCACATTTAAAGCCAGTTCCTTCAATCGGGAGGACTAATGACCTTGAAAGGAGCATTCAGGCAAAGATTTTAGCTCTTTGTTGTCTTTCATGTATAATCTAGGATCTCTGCATAGTTTTCTATTTCAGTTTCGTGTTCACAACTTCTTATTGTTTAAACAAGAACCCTTCATGTATTTGCAATGACGCCATGGATCTTTGTTTTGTATGTGTGCATGTATCTACATCAAACAGTGTAATTATAAGATATTTGTTTGTTTTTCTAGTACACCATGTTTACTGCAATACAGAAGCATTACACTCTAGAACAGTGGAAGCTGTTTGCAAGTGATCACCCAGAATGCATAGAGGTACTTTTCCCCCACAAAGTTAAATGTTAGACTGCATTTCCTGAAATGTTAGAAAAACTGATGTGCCATGTACTGTTTGCAAGAGAATGGCTGATAAAAATCATACGCTTCCAAAAGATTCTAGGCCTATATAGGATGCATAGTATTTTATTAGAGGGACCCAGTGTTATGGGTACAATGGTACTTGCAGAAATTGGAGTGCATGTGTGGATGCAGGGAGGCTGCCCAATAACAAAATAATTGTGGTGATGCTTACAAATCACAAAACATTCATTTACTAGAACACCAACAGATGAGACTATCCTCACCATCATATGTAGCACAACTGGATACTCTGGTTACACAGCAGCTCATGTGCTTCCAAATAAAGTGGTGAATTAGAACAGTTGGCCATATTTATTTTCTACAAATACATTTAGAATCGAAATGCAGCCTTGAGGCGTTCTTAAAAAGCTAAAGGATAGCTTTTTCAAGGATGCCAACTTCTTGCTGATAATTACTTTTAATTAAAATAAGATGTAAAGATAAATTAAATGGGACTGACAAAGAGCTTGAAGAGCAGTAGAGGTGTTTATAGGTATCTTGATACTCAGGCATCATGTTGGTTTTATTTTATTTTTATTTCACATCATTCTGGCTAATGCATCCCGGAAGATCAAGGGTATAATATATAATATAATAAAAATTAATATTTTAGAACACTGGAAAGATGTGGGCATATCTAAATGAACATTTATAAATTTATGATTATGTTGTACAATTCTTTTCGTGTGTCTTTACAAGTAAATTCACTCTGAAAAGGACTATTTAGGGTCTTAATCTTAGCCTGAACAGGGTGGAACAGCAATACATTAATGGAATGTAAAAACTGAGTTTAAATTATTAAAGATATCAATAGATGATTTGTTGGCAAAGTTAGATAACAAGTGTGTACATTTAAGTAAAGTAATCTGACAAAAAGGTATAAGAATGGTTTATTGATCAGTGGTAGTCTGTGAAAACATCTGCAAACACAGTATTTTATTCAGGCAAAAACATTGAGATCAAGTAGAAAGCAAAACATTGTGCAGCGCATAAGACAATGTTGGAAAAGAAAGCCCAAACATTTTTTTTTTAGTTTTGTAAATTTAATTGCATTTTGATTGAGTTAAATTCACTGTAGTGTGAATGCTTTTGGCCTCATTTCTATTAAAAACTTGAATTGTTCTCATCTTCTTTTTGCAGCATGTAGCGGTGAGCTCAGGCAGTGGGCTAACTGATTTCGAGAAGCTGATAAGTATCGTTGAGGCCATCCCCCTTATCAAGTACATTTGCCTGGATGTGGCCAATGGTTACTCAGAACACTTTGTGGAATTTGTGAAAGCTGTTCATGTCCGGTTCCCAAAGCACACCCTCATGGTAGGAGTTGGAGAAGATGGGAGATGGATAGGCTTAGAATTTGGCAAAAGAGTTTCTTGATTCCAGCAAATATGTCCCATGTCCTGTATCTTAGCAAGAAGGGACCATAAATAATAAACTCCGAATTTAGTATGTGAAAAAACCCAGGTTTCATCTATATAGATTCCTATATGAAAACTTGCAGCCAGTCAATGTAGGCAACATTGAACAGAATTGATGAATGGTTTGATTTTGTATTTCTCTTCTGTGGGATGGAGTGCTCTTGACTGTTGTCTTTGCATATTATTGTGAGATGATTCAGACCGCTTCATTCCACTCAAGTATACTTTAGAAAATGTTACATGAGAGAGGTTCCCACACTCTCACAAGATGTTGATAAAATCTTACAAGATTTGTAGGATTTCAAGAAACTAACATATTTATTTTGGGATGGAATAGGGGTGGGTACTGCATAACCACCTCTTCTATGGAATTAGCTTCCCACTCTCACCTTATTTTACTGGAAATCAGATAATTAACTATATAAGAGTTTTAGTATCTTTAGTTTTGTGTATTTACTTAAAATGCATAAGGCTGTCCAATCTAAAACAAACTTTAGTGGGTTCCAGGAAAGGAATAGTTAATAATATATAATATTATATTTGTGGTCTTGTCTCTTTTTATTTAAAAGGATAGAAAAATATGGGATAGATTTGGATAGAGATCTAAGCACAAAGATTGGCATGTTTGTTTACAGGATCATGTGTTAAATTGTAATGGCAATTATGTCATCAGTAAGTTTTAGAATGAGCTAGGGATTTGAACATGGGATTTTCAACTTGACTCTGTATCATAAGGATTTAATTTTGAAACAAATAATCTTGTTTCATGCACTGTAAGCTTATTAAAAATATTCAGAAGTAGTAAGAACACAGATACGATTGGCGCTTTCCCAAATACCTGTCAGTAACGATATTATTATTAGGTACATAGTATCCTAAGCTTCTGGGAGGAAGGATGAGTTTAAAAAATAACATAACAAAAACAAAAAAATAATTCATGCATAAGTAGGGTCAGAATTATGTAAAGTGATAGACAATTACTTTTTATCAAATGCTAATAAAATGCAATATTGCCTGTTTTGGAATTGGGACTGTTTTCTGAAGTAGTAGTAGTTCATCAAGAGCAAATCAATTTTTGAGGCAAAGTGCTTTTCTTTTATGTATGCTTTGACCATTGTCATCAGTGGAAAATGGGAGTTTCATCGCATTGAATAATTCAGTCAGAAAGGGCAAATTTTTGCCTTGTTGTTTCTGTTTGGATATTAAACTTTCTGGCCTACTGTATTAAGCAAGCTCTCCATTCTATTAAATAAAAGTGTTGATTGTACAGAATGGATGATAAGAAATGTTTGTATTTGCTTCATACAGAGTTATGGCTATGATGATGTTCCCTTCTCTTTCAACATTTTTTTAAAATGCAGATAAGAGATACTAGAATAGGGGTGCGGAGGCTTATCAGAATGATCTGGGATAGACATTATAAGGTCCAGTTAATGCCAAGGCAAAGAAACAGTTTATTTTAATGGAAATATTTGTTTTTACAGGATAGAAAGTAGATGTGTCATATACCTGCTGATCACATGAAAATATAGGGTGTAAATCGACCAGGATTATACTGATTGCTGAACAGGGCATTGAATAATCACGCTCCTATTTTAAAAGAAATTGTGGTTTTGAAAACAAGGCAATTTTCTGCATGCAAATGAGAATGCACATTGTATATGTAATCTGCCCAGAGTGGAAGGCAGGTTAAAAATGGAAGGATAGAAGGAAGGAGGAGAGATAAATATATTTTCTTACTACTGCAGTCCTTGTGGATTTATTCATTATTTGCAATGATTTTGGCTCTATTTCAGGCAGGCAACGTAGTAACAGGAGAGATGGTGGAAGAACTTCTTCTATCTGGTGCAGATATTATTAAAGTAGGAATTGGACCAGGTAAGCTGGGTAGAAGGGTATATGCTTGAATCACCTGCTTAATATTTATGTCAGGAGTATTTACTTTCCATCCTTAGTACATACATACACACACTAACAAATAGATAGCAAAGGAACAAAAAAGCAGTGTCTGAGTTGGTGTACGAATGGACAAGTTGGAAGACTGGTTTGCAAGTATAAAAAGAGGTTGAGTGAAAAGCGTTGCTGTAAACACTTCAGTTTAATTCTGTTTCCTTATCTGATGCCTTTCGTTTCTTTGGCTTACAATTTCCATTTTTGTGCTTTGTGCAACAATATTTTCCTCCAAAGGGAAATGATGAGTATGTATATATTTTGCAACATCTGGAGGGAAAAAATAAGCAACTTCAACTGCTGTCACATAGTCTGGGAAAATATACATCCTGATAATGTTGTGGAAGAAAAAAAATCCTAAATACCATAAGCATTTGTGTCCTAGAATAGATAGGCATGGAACTGACTCAAAAGGAAGTGATATCCAGGGTTTTATTGAAGACATATTATTGAAAGTGATTACAAAGCCCTTAATGCAGAAGTATGTGAATCTTTGCCAAACGACAGATTTGATTTGAAAAGAGAAAACTCTTTCAAAATTAGGGGATTGCTAAAAAAGAAGCTGTGAAAGACGAAGCCAGACTCAAACCTCATGCAAAGATGCATTCAAAAATCACAATACTAAAAGCTCAGGTAGCAATAGCACTTAGACTTATATACCTCTTCACAGTGCTTTACAGCCCTCTCTAAGCAGTTTACAATGTCAGCATATTGCCCCCAACAATCTGGGTCCTCATTTTACCGACCTTGGAAGGATGGAAGGCTGCGTCAACCTTGTGCCAGTCAGGATCGAACTGCTGGCAGCCGGCAGTCAGCAAAAGTAGCCTGCAGGACTGTATTCTAACCATTGTGCCACCACGGCTCAGCACATTGAATGAAAGGCGATCAAAACATGGCCCTGAAAATTTGGCTGTTTTGCCATCAAAATTCAATTATGTGAAATTTGGGTTTATGGGGGTGGGGGACACATAGCCTGAGGGAACGAATTTTCCACTTATGTGGGGAAGTGAACCAATAATTGATGTCAGCATTGATGTGGATTTCTAGCTGAGTGGAGGTTTGGATCTGGTGCCTCCAAGGCTCTCTGGCCCTGTTTCCTGTAAAGCAGGGGTCCCCAACCACCGGTCCGTGGACCGGTACCGGTCCGCGGAACAAGTCCTACCGGGCCGCTGGTTGCTGGGCGCCGCCATCTTTTTTTGATGAAAAAGTGCTTCCG